TGTGAAGAGGAAGCCAAATAACCCCTTTACTCCCATATTGCTTTGGTCATGGTTTTTCATCACATCAATAGTAATCCTGAAAAAGACAAGAGTATTTCTGGCTATTTGCTGAGTTTCAAGGTCTGAATGGTGTTTCTATCATGGCCTCAGTTGTGCTAAGGTCTTGGGGGCCTATGAAGGTCTGGAGGTCTGTTATAGTAGTAGAGATGCTGTTTTAAAAGAAAAAGAAGTTGGGAGGGAAAAAGGAACCAAGAAGGATTACTAGAGACTAGACTAAATGAAACATTGATATGTGATGTGTATAATGATGAGTATATATAAATCTCTTAATGCAAAGAATTATAGTAAAACTTTTCTCATCCATGTTTCTTTCTGTAATTTCATTTAAGTCACATATACCCAAAAGTATCAGTTTTACTTTTCTTATCAAGGAAAAAAAATAACTAAGAAAGTCTCTGGCGCTAATTAAAAATATTTGTGAAGAATCCTATCACTGAGAATAAAGCATTAATTAACAATCCTATAGTGCATTAACACTGAATAGTTTTAAACAATTTTCTCTAGATACAAATATATCAAAAACTGTACCTCCAATTTTTTCCAGCTTATTCTTTACTTCATGTCTGAAAAGAAATTAAAGCTGCAAGTTTAGTTCAGTGGTCAAGCATTAACCCCATATGCAATGCATTAGGTTTGATCCCAAGTACTACCAAAGACAAGCCTTTTAATTAATTGTTTATAATATAGAATTCGTGGCAACAAGAAAATATCACATGTGAAATAACATATCCAATACTTGATAGATAATCAAAGTAAACTTTTCTTTTAATTTTTTTGCTTTTTTTAAAAAGCAGGAACGCAGTCAGTTCAAGATGACTATAAAGTAAATATGTAGGTGATAATGCCACTGAGCCATCTTACCCTGCTCCCTCCACCTCCCCATTGCTGAGATTGCAGATATAAAAACAACTAGTTGAGCAGGAAAGGAAATATGTATTACCCTGTATCTCCATCCCTTCTTGGAGGAACCAATGACTTCCCAGTACTACGAAGTACTGTATATCTTTCTGCATTGAATAAGAAAAATGAAAAACATTTTAATTTAACCTTGCTAGTTTAGTTAATTTTAATGAAATAGTAATTTTGTTTGTATTTCTTTCAGGCATTTTTCCAATATTATATCTTAAAGCAAAACATAAATGCAATATATTATTCTGAAGGTTAGATGAAATAAAATCATAAGCTATGGCTGTTTTATATAATAGGTTTTCATGTCTCTCTAAGGTAATACCACTGTAAATTATTTCAGTTTATTGATGTGTGTGAACTGTAAAGGCAAGGTACTATATGACTTCCTAGAATTTTGATACAGGCTTATGAAGAACAAATGAGAGTAAGAAATTATATGAAAATAATAGCCTTTTATTCTACTTCTGGCACCTAGGTAAATATCAAATGAACCACAGAGGTAAAATGATTTAGGAGGTAATGTAGAACAGGTTATTACCAAGCCTGAAATCAACATTATCCTTCTCTAAGACACTCATGGTGGAAGGAGAAACCTAAATCCTGTAAATTGCCCTCTGACCAAGCGCCTCCTCACATACTCAAAAATACAATGTGGGATACCACAAGTATTCTGAACTGTATGCACTGTACCTGTTAGAGTAGACTCTGCTGAACACTCCACAACATCATCTTCTATTTCTATCACTTCCTCAACAACAACTTCTTCTTCTTCTTCTTCTTCTTCTTCTTCTTCTTCTTCTTCTTCTTCACTATCATTAATGTTGTAGATTACTGAGTGCTCTTCTTTGTCCATTGGTGGCTTCTGAGACTTAAGACTTCTTTTGTCAGGGGGAAATATATTTTAATGTTTTGTCACTGAAAACTGAAAGAGAATAGCACATCTGTAATCTAAATCCAAAACAATCAGGTGAAATGAACCAATAAATTAGAAAACATCCAGTAAGAATGACCTAAATTGAATAAAAGGATACCAGTTTCCATATATTATTGAATTAGAAGTTAACAAATTTATTTATGGTTGTGAGCCTTGCATTTAACTACTGAGCCATTTTTCTAGAAAAGAAACATTTAAGGAAACATACAAAGTCCTTAGTCATCAGGGAAATGCAAATTAAAATGTCCCTGAGATTTCACCTTACACCCATCAAAATGACTAAAATCAAAATTACAAGTGACAATATATGCTGGAGAGGATGTGGAGAGAGGGTAAACCTCTTCCATTGCTGGTGGGATTGTAAACATGTACAATCAATTTGGAAATCAATCTGGCACTTTTACAGATAATTAGGAATAGTGTTCCCTCAAGATCCAACTATAACACTCCTAGAAATATATCAAAATTATGTTCAAATATATAACAAGGACACTTGCCCAATCATTTTCATAGCTGCTTTATTCATTATAGGCAGAATCTGTAAACAACCCAGAGGTCAAACAACAGAGGAATAGATACAGAAATTGTGGTATAATTACCCAATAGAATACTACTCAGCAATTAAAAAAAGGAAATCATGAAATTTGCAGGCAAATGGTGGTAACTGGAAAAGATCATCCTGAGTGAGGTATCCCAGAAGCAGAAAGACACACATGGTATATACTCACTTATAAGTGACTATAATATATTATATTATTATATTATAATAATATGTTATTATAGTATAATATTACTATATTTGACATATAATAGAGGATAAACATATTTAACTAAAATATGTACAGCTAAAGAAGCTAAGCAAGAAGGAGTACCCTGGGTAAGATGATCAATACTCACTCAGAAAGGCAAATCGTATGGACATCAGAAGATGGGGAAAACAAGGAACAGGACAGCAGTCTACCACAGAGGGCCTCTGAAAGACTAGCTAGCAAGGTATCAAAGCAGATGCTGAGAGTCATAGCCAAAGTTTTGGCAGAGTGAGGAGAATCTGATGAAAAGAGGAGGAGAAGAAAGAACTTGAGGGGACAGGAGCTCCACAAGGAGAGAAATTAAACAAAAATATCTGGGCACAAGGGTCTTTCTGAGACTGATAGTACAACCAAGCATCATGCATGGAGATAACATAGAACCCCTGCACAGATGTAGCCGATGGCAGTTCAGTGTCCAAGTGGGTGCTCTAGTAAGAGGAAAAAGGACTGTCTCTGATATGAACTCAGTGGCTGTCTATTTGATCACCCACCCTGTGAGTGGAACAATCTTACCAGGACAAAAAGGAAGACAATTAGGTCCTGATGAGACCTAATAGGCTAGGGTCAGATGGAAGGGGAGAAGGACCTCCCCTATCAGTGGACTGGGGGAGGGGCAAGGGAGGAGATGAGGGAGGGGGACTGGGAGTGGATGAGGAATGGGATATAGCTGGGATACAGTGTGAATATATTGAAATTAATAAAAAATAAAGAAGACAAAAAGAAGTTAACAATTTAACATTTCTGAATGAAAAAAGAAGAGGGCTGTACCCTGCAGGGTATTAAAGCAGATACTAAGACTCACAGGGCAGAGTGCAGGGTATCTTATGAAAGAAGGGGGAGATACAAAGACCTGCAGGAGACAGGAGCTCCACAAGAAGAGCAACAGAACCAAAACATCTGGGCGCAGCGTTCTTTGAAAAGACCAATACTCCAACCAAGGACCATGCATAGAGATGACCTAGAAACTCTGCACATATGTAGCCTATGGCAGCTCAGTCTCCAAGTGGGTTCCCTAGTAAGAGGAACGGAGACTGTCAATGACATAAACTCTGTGGCTGTCTCTTTGAGCACCTTCCCCTCAGGAGGGAGTACAGCTGTACCAGGCCACAGAAGAAGACAATGCAGCCAGTCCTGATGAGATCTGATAGATAAGGAGGACTTCCCTGATCAGTAGACTTGGTGAGGGGCATGGGAGGAGAAGGATGAAGGAGGGTATGATTGGAAGGGAGAGGTGGATTGGAAAGGGACAAGCTAGGGGCTACAGCTGGGGATACAATGTGAATAATGGGTAATAATGAAAAGTAAATAAATAAAAAAGAAGAGGGATGGGGAGATGGCTCAGTTTTTATGAGCACATACTATTCTTGCAGTGGATCTAAGCTTGAATCCAACACTCACATCAGATGGCTCACAGCTTCCTGTAACTCCAGTTCTAAACTGCTGGCTTTCACAAGAAACTGAGTTCTCATGCCCATATTTACTGACATCCAAACCTACAGACATAACTGAAAATTAAAATCTTATGAAAAAAATGTAATGATGTCTTTAACCTTGATTTGTAATGTGTTTAACCACAGGAATATCTAATTTTTGTTCCCATCACTGTCAGATTCTTAAGAATTTTGAAGCAATATATAAGGCAGTGTGTGACTCAAAGTAATCCTATGGATTCTCTTACTGTAACTCACAAACATACACCAAATGGGCTGACAGCAAAACAAATATAAAACAAAATTTGACAGAGCTGGGGAGGTAGTTTGGTGGTTACCATGCAAGAAGGTCTGCCCTCAAATGTCAAACATGCCAGAAAAAAAAAATGATTCATTCATGGTGAGTCAGGTCTCTCTTTAATCATAGCATTCCATTCTGGAGGTTGAGAATCCCTTGCTCACAGTCAGCGCATGCCACATATGGAGTTCCTGTTCATTCTGGCCTACAGTGAGTGTGTATCTCAAAGAAAAGGTCAAAAAAGAACACAAACAAAAAGCCCAAGGGAACAAACAAAAAAATGGATGTGCTTATACACTGTTATAATCTTAATACTCAAAAAAGACTAAAGCAGGAGTACTAGCAGGCCAGTTCCAAACACAGAGTAATATAGTGCCTTAGAAAAACAAACAGTAAAAACAGGAGTATCAAAATGGCTCAGCAATTACAAGCACTTAGCCACCTTTTAGCCACTATTTTTTTTCTTCAAGATGGGGTATCTATGTATCCCTGGGTGTCCTGCAACTCATTTTGTAGACTAGGCTAGCCTCAAACTCAGAGATCCATCTGTCTCTACCTACAGAGTGCTCTGTGCCACCAGGCCACTGACCCTGCCACCATCTGCCCACCCTCTTCTTCCCCAAAACAGATATTCAGTTCCAAACACCAGCAGACAGTGCTACCAAGCTCACAAATAACTGGTACTAAAATTCCAGCGAATATAATGTCCTTTCCGGCCTCCATTTTCCTGTCAGCTGCCTTCATAAAGTCTGTCACCTCCATTTTCTTGTCAGCGACCTTGGTAAAGTCCGCCACCTCCATTTTCCCATGAGACACAGGCACATAAGTAGAATTTATTTTTAAGTCTAGTCTGGTCCTTAAATAAGAAATGTCCGTACAGTGTATACCAAACACATGCAATACCCTATAGAGAAACATGGCAGTGGGGTTCTAAAGGATACAGCCTGGCTTCAGAGAAAGTACAGAAGTAAGTAAGTATTTGTCCTCAATACACCAGCCTGCAGGCAACATGCCTCCAGCCACATCTGTGAGGGCCCCAGTGGATCCTTCATACTCTTGGTATCTCCCAGTTCCTCCATCCACCCCAATCACCATTCTCCAAATCCTCCTACCCTCCCAGGTCCTCCTTAGCTCTTCCTTATGTGAAGCCCAACTCCTCCCCCTCTAACATCGCCCATTACTCCAAGCGGCCATCTCTGTAATGTGAGGGCATACTTCTCCCAGGGTCCCCATTCCTCTAGGATTTCCTTCCTTCCAGCCAGGCATCAGCCGGTTCAAGGCCCAGTACTCGGCAAGTTTCACCACCGCCATTTTCCTGTCAGCGGCCTTGGTGAGGCTCATCCAAACCTCTACTTTCCCATCAAAGGCCTCAGGTAAGGTTAACCACCACCTCCATTTTCCCATCAGCGACCTTGGTAAGGTCTCCCACCTCCTTTTTCCCCGTCAGTGACCTTGGTAAGGTCCACCACCTCCATTTTCCTGTTAGTGACCTTCGTAAATTTCACCACCTCCATTTTCTTGTCAGCAACCTTGGTAAGGTCCCCCACCTCCATTTTCCTGTCAGTGAGCTTGGTAAGGTCCCCCAACTCCATTTTCCTGTCAGCGACCTTCGTAAGGTTAACCACCACCTCCATTTTCCCGTCAGCGACCTTGGTAAGGTCACCCCCCTCCATTTTCCCGTATGTGACCTTGGTAAGGTCCCCCACCTTCATTTTCTTGTTAGTGACCTTAGTAAGGTCCCCCACCTCCATTTTCCCGTCAGCGACCTTAGTAAGGTCCCCCACCTCCATTTTCCTGTCAGTGACCTTGGTAAGGTCCCCCACCTCCATTTCCCTGTCAGCGACCTTCGTAAGGTCCCCACCACCTCCATTTTCCCGTCAGCGACCTTCGTAAGGTCCCCACCACCTCCATTTCCCTGTCAGCGACCTTGGTAAGGTCCCCACCACCTCCATTTCCCTGTCAGCAACCTTGGTAAGGTCCCCCACCTCCATTTTCCCTCCAGCGACCTTGGAAAGGTTCACCCTGTCCATTTTCCTGTTAGTGACCTTGGTAAGGTCCCCCACCTCCATTTTCCTGTCAGCGACCTTGGTAAGGTCCCCCACCTCCATTTTCCCTCCAGCGACC